GCCCTCTGTGCACCCCATACACCTGCAGTGCACGATCCCTCCATCTAGCCTGTTTCCCTAGGCGTCAGCACCCCACAGGAAGGCTGCAGAGAGGGGAGCAGCAGCAGGAAGGCTTCGGAGGGGGCAGGGAGAAGGCTGCTGCTGGGTTCAGGGTGAAAATCAGAACCCAGGATCCTCAACCTCCGGGTACAGAGGGAACAGCCTGAGGCAGGAAGAGAAGGGCACGCTAAGGATTCGTTTGGTCCGGTTTGGACACACCTGCCTGTGAGGCCCCAGCAGTGGCCAGGTGTCTGAAGACAGACAGCATGACAGCGGGGTGTCCATGGTGACAGGAGAAACCCCGAAGAGATGGGCAGGAGTCTTGAGCAGGACCTGCGCTTCAAGGCATAGGCACCCTGGGCCAGAGGGTCAGAGGCCCCACAGTCCAGGACTGAGGCCAGGCTGGACTGGCGATGAGGGTGGCGGAGGCCACCAGCAGCCAAGCATGCAACCCCCGAGCTGGGCCCTGCCAGAAGCTGATGTGCACGGGCCACCCAGCTGGCCAGTCTGCCCACACCCTGCACAGCCTCACGCGGCTGCAGCCACACACATGTGTGCGATACTGATGACTCCCGAAGGGTGTGGGGTAGAGGGGCTGGGTCCCAGCAGCCCTGAGGAAGGAGGTGGGGGAAGGGGACCATCGGGTGGTGTCACGGGGCTCCTGGAGGGAGCGGAGCAGCCACCTCCCATCGGCACAGCTGGCACACGGGGCAGCACCCGGCACGTCTGGCGGGAGGGTGGCGGTGGGTCAGGGAGGAGGAAGCAGGGCTGGGATGGGACGCTGGCCATGGGGGCGTGGGGCGGTGGCACTCACTGTGTATTCTGCATGCTTTTTTCCGTACCATTTCATCCACTTCCTGAACTCTCGGTCCATGGTCTACGAGGCAACCAAGGCAGATGGCCCATCAGACAGGTGGCCAGCTGGGCAGAAGCCTGCCCCATGCCCAGGGCCCAGCCTCCAGCCTCCTGCCTCCCGCTCGGTCAGATGCATGAGCTGGCACTGTGGTCTGCCCACCTCAGCACCACCCTCTGAGAGGCAGCCCAAGGAGGACCCCAGGGGTCCCGAGGGGGTAGCCAGTGGGGCCTGCAAAGGCTCTGACCTCCAAGGAACCCTAGCCCACCAGACACCCACAAACTCTTAACACGCCTGTGTGGGGACAGGCTGCTCAGACGCTCCCACCCCCCAAGCCCCACGGGCCACAAGCAGGCAGACGCTGGTACAACAGGGACACTACGGCCCAACGGCATACGTGGCAACGACAGGCTGGCTGCGGGGACACGAGCTGCTGCCCCGCGCCCCAGAACCGCTCACCTCCGCGTACTTGGCTGGGATGTCAGCTTTCTCAACGCCATAGTGATGTTTGCAGCTGGTGGCCGCAGCGACCTGCAGCACAACCTGGCCCACTCCTGGTGGGGAGACAGGGGAGGCGCTGTCACAGACCAGGCACTCGTGACAGGTACCCCGAGGCCACTCCCACGACCCAGGGTGAGTGCTGAGCACCCCATATGGGATGGCCACCTCAGTCACGCTGCCTCGGTCACATTTTGCCATCCACAGACAACACTCTGTGGCTCCTGAAACCAGAATCCATTCTCTATGTACAGGCCCCATGTGGCACTAACTATGCACACCAACATGGCTCCACAAGGCTCAGTGACAGTCAGGAAGGCTTCATCCACCCCAAAGTTACCCCATGCTACCACCACAGAGCGGCCTGGCCAGCCAATTCTGACACCACCTTGAGGACGCCTGTCCATTCTCACCATCAACAGGGGGTTGATGGAGCCTGGAGGGGCAGGAGAACCCCGCATGCCAGAAATAGGCCTCCCAACCACTCGTCTGGTGCCATTATTGTGTCCACTGCCATCACTCAACATGCCGACATGCCCAGCTGCCCAAGTCCCAAGCAGAGGCCCAGTGCGGACACTCTGGAACCACTGGCTCTGGGGCACTTGGGCACCGGGAGGCTTTCTCAACTGCGCCTACACAAGGTCAGTTTTGCACGTTGGATACTGTGTTAGGGGCCCCTTAAGTTTCCGTTTTGAACGGAATGAATCCAAGCAATAAAAAGAAGCATGGTGCTTGAAGACTCGGGGGTAGACACGAAGGCCCAGCACAAGGGACTGAAGGCCACTGCCCAGGGACCGCATGAAGCGGCGAGCGCTGTGCATCAGACAGCTGGCGTCTCAGACACCATGAGCCCTTCAACACGTGGAGGCAAGTCCTACAGCAATTTAGGTAACTGGCTTTAGAACAACATGCATTCTTATAAAGATGTGAATCGTGCTTACAAAGGGCTTCAACTAATGACGCCAAAGAAGCTGCGTGCACCCCAGGATGCAAGCCCACTTCTGAGCACCACAACTGAGCCCGTTTGCAGCTGGACTTTCGAGTCTGTAGCAGGAGGGTATTGTATCAACAGTACATGCGGACAGCAGAGCTGCCCCAGGGGAAGCTGTGCCCAGGGCTCCTCACGGAGCAGACTGGCAGTGTGACAGCTGCCTATCCAACCCAAGTCTAACCGGGCACCAAGAAGCCCACAGATGAAGTTGCAGTTTATCCGTGTGCACCTGCCAGACCCCATGTCACGCTGAAGACAGGCCCCTGCCCTCACCCTCCACTCTGCAGGAGACACGCCCATACCCAGAGGTTGGGGCTGGTCCACGGCGGTCCCTGGGCCGCCTCTCAGCCAGGAGCAAGCTGTGCCCTCAGGAAGGAGCAGCAGAGGGACTCAGGGGCTTAGCGGGGAGCGCCGTAGGGCTGCACGCACAGGGCACCTTCTGGAGCCAAGCTTGACCTGCAGCACAACCTGGCCCACTCCTGGTGGGGAGACAGGGGAGGCGCTGTCACAGACCAGGCACTCGTGACAGGTACCCCGAGGCCACTCCCACGACCCAGGGTGAGTGCTGAGCACCCCATATGGGATGGCCACCTCAGTCACGCTGCCTCGGTCACATTTTGCCATCCACAGACAACACTCTGTGGCTCCTGAAACCAGAATCCATTCTCTATGTACAGGCCCCATGTGGCACTAACTATGCACACCAACATGGCTCCACAAGGCTCAGTGACAGTCAGGAAGGCTTCATCCACCCCAAAGTTACCCCATGCTACCACCACAGAGCGGCCTGGCCAGCCAATTCTGACACCACCTTGAGGACGCCTGTCCATTCTCACCATCAACAGGGGGTTGATGGAGCCTGGAGGGGCAGGAGAACCCCGCATGCCAGAAATAGGCCTCCCAACCACTCGTCTGGTGCCATTATTGTGTCCACTGCCATCACTCAACATGCCGACATGCCCAGCTGCCCAAGTCCCAAGCAGAGGCCCAGTGCGGACACTCTGGAACCACTGGCTCTGGGGCACTTGGGCACCGGGAGGCTTTCTCAACTGCGCCTACACAAGGTCAGTTTTGCACGTTGGATACTGTGTTAGGGGCCCCTTAAGTTTCCGTTTTGAACGGAATGAATCCAAGCAATAAAAAGAAGCATGGTGCTTGAAGACTCGGGGGTAGACACGAAGGCCCAGCACAAGGGACTGAAGGCCACTGCCCAGGGACCGCATGAAGCGGCGAGCGCTGTGCATCAGACAGCTGGCGTCTCAGACACCATGAGCCCTTCAACACGTGGAGGCAAGTCCTACAGCAATTTAGGTAACTGGCTTTAGAACAACATGCATTCTTATAAAGATGTGAATCGTGCTTACAAAGGGCTTCAACTAATGACGCCAAAGAAGCTGCGTGCACCCCAGGATGCAAGCCCACTTCTGAGCACCACAACTGAGCCCGTTTGCAGCTGGACTTTCGAGTCTGTAGCAGGAGGGTATTGTATCAACAGTACATGCGGACAGCAGAGCTGCCCCAGGGGAAGCTGTGCCCAGGGCTCCTCACGGAGCAGACTGGCAGTGTGACAGCTGCCTATCCAACCCAAGTCTAACCGGGCACCAAGAAGCCCACAGATGAAGTTGCAGTTTATCCGTGTGCACCTGCCAGACCCCATGTCACGCTGAAGACAGGCCCCTGCCCTCACCCTCCACTCTGCAGGAGACACGCCCATACCCAGAGGTTGGGGCTGGTCCACGGCGGTCCCTGGGCCGCCTCTCAGCCAGGAGCAAGCTGTGCCCTCAGGAAGGAGCAGCAGAGGGACTCAGGGGCTTAGCGGGGAGCGCCGTAGGGCTGCACGCACAGGGCACCTTCTGGAGCCAAGCTCCAGGTAGGCCCTGAGGCTGCTCCCAGGCTGGCAGAGCGGCAGGAGCAATGGGACCTGCTGGGGTAGGGCTGTTTCCCAGATCTACAGGTGGGAAGGCCTGCGCCAGGGACACAGCGGTGCCCACAGCAGTGACACACGGGTGGGGGACGGAGGACCCAACTCCAGGGGCCACTTCCCATCAGACCCCTCCCATAGCCGCGGCAGGGAACCGCAGGCTTGCGGGCCACTCACCACTGCCCAGGTCCACGAACAGGTCGTCCTCGGTCATCTTGATCTCGTCGATCATCTGCGCGACCAGGTCGAAGGAGGTCTCCCCATACACCTCTGGGGAGAAGGGCTCGTAGTTGTTGAGCTTCTCAGGGTCGGTCACCGAGTGGTTATACACCTGCTGCAGGATGTGCCTCAAGAGCCCGTTGGACGGCCGCGTGTTCAGCTTCATGGGCTGCGTGGTTCCCTTCCACTGGGGCAGAGAGGGCGCCGTCACCTGAGCCCACCATCCTGCCCCTGTGACTGCTGCCCACAGAGAAGAGGGCCTGTGTGTGCACAGTGTGAGTGAGTGAGCACAAGTGTGTGCAGTGTGCATGTGTGCGAGTGAGCGTGGACATGATGCTGGCATGCAGCAAGGTGTACATGTGCACACTGCCTGTGGCTCCTGCCTTTCTAGATGAGGGGCTGTCACCCGTCAGCTCCAGAACCCTGGCCTCACAACAGTGCCTTCACTGATAGTCCCTCTGGGGGAGGACACAGGCAGAGCCGCGGGACAGCCTGCACTTGGGGGCCTGTGTTAAGGCCCACAGCCTGCACCCGCCTCAGGGCCCCGCTCAGGCTTCGGCAGCCTGAGGAAGGAGCTGCCCACACTACCGCTCCCTGGCCCTGGCAGCCTGGCCCCAGGAGTTCCTGAGGACTGGGGCCTGGCCCCTCACATGCTGGCCATTAAGAGAGGCCCCCTGTCCCTCCTCCCAGCCCAGTGCCCCGGCCGACCAGGGTGCTGCTCCACACAGCACGGCCCTCCCCTCTCAGCAGCTGCCACCAGACACCTGCAGCCCTGTGACTCGGGCAGTGACAGCCCCTGCAGGCCTTCCCAGCGCAGGGGTGGGACAGCCCAGGCCAGGCCACACTGCACAGAGGGTGCAGCCCCAGAGCCTCGGGCCCCCTCCTCCTCAGGAGAGAACTGACAGACACTCGGCCAAGGCAAGGGGCTGGGAGCCAGACAGCTGACCAGCCCAAGGAACCTCTCCAGTCCCGGTCCACTGACACACTCATCTAAGTGTCACCGAAACTGCTGACCAAGGGTGGCGAGGAGAGGGCTGCCCGGCAAGCCCCAGTAGCCCTGTTCTGGGGACTCCAGAGAGGTGCACTGGCTGGCTCAGGCTGCGGGACCTCAGGCTGCAGGGCCAGCCCCCTCCTCAGCCTCCCTGACACCCCTCACAGCCAGAACGTCCTGTGGGGACAGGAGCACACTCACGACGTGGCCGGATCAAGGACGGAAGCCCCATGGAGGCCCCTGACCACCGCCTGCCTGCTGCGGCCACAGGGCAAGGATCGGGCACCAGTGTACAGGGGTGAATGCCCATGCCGGCTTGTCACGGTCCCAGCCACGGGCGGTGCGCAGGGCCCAAGGACTGTTCTGCAGACCCCTCTCGCTGGCGGCCAGTGGGTCCCAGCACTGAGGATGGCCGGGAGGGTCCCAGAGGCACTCTGTCAGAACCGCCCAGGGGATGTGAAGGGCAACAGGCTGGCAAGCTGCAGCACGGGGTCCCAGGGGAAGAGACAGGGCAGGGCGGGTGCGGGCCACCTACCAGCTGGTGGATGCTGTCAATGGCCCGGTTGTACTTGTCGCAGAGTCTCTGCATGCTTTCGAAACTGAAAAACCAAGGGGAAGGTGTGAAGGTGCCAGTGAGCCCGAACAGGCCCAGGGCCTTGCAGGCCTCACGGGGGGGACAGCACACAGACAGGCAGAGCCCAGGCCCCACCCGGGGAGAGGGCAGAGGTCACAGGGCCCCAAAGAGAGTCCACAGGGGCCACAAGGCTGGGCCGGGAGCTCCAGGCTAAGGCAGACCCTGGCGGTGAGGCCACGCATGACCCCAAGGGCAGCCTACATAGTTCACGGCTCACAGGCTTGCCCAGCAGGGCTCAGTGAGGAAAGGGCCAGGCCTCACTCCCACTGGGCGGGACGGCGAAGCCCACCTGCTCCACTGGGACTGCACGGGGCAGCGTGCGGGTCCCCAGCAGGGAGGGCTCATCTCGCACCGGCCCACCCTCCACCTGCACGGATGCACCAGGGGCCAGCTGCGGGCACAAGGGGCTCCGGGCTCCACCAGCCGGCAGAAGAGGACGCCTCCCGATGCGCAGCTGCAGACAGGAGGGCAGCACCCCCCATGCCGGCTGCTCACTATAGCACCTCAAGTCTCCACACCTTCGATGATGCAAGCGGCACGTGCTGGCTGTGAGTCTCTGATGAAGCCATATTCTCCCCACGCCAGCTTCTGCTGCAGGTGCTTCTTTTCAGTGGGATCCTCGAACCCAGGGCCCCCCCACCAGGGTGACTATGTTCCCAGAGGATGCTGGGCAAACCCGGGGGAGTCTGTGGTTGTCCCACTGGGGGGATCCTGGCATCAGGTGGGTGGGGCTGAGAGTGCTACTCACCCCCCACAGTGCCCAGGATGGACCCCCAGAGCACGGCCTGGCCAATGTCCACAGTGCCAGGGGAGACCTGCTCACAGGGTCTGTGTGTAGGGACAGGAGTGTCCCCCAGGAGCCCCTTCTTGCCACTGACCCAGGTACACAGCAGCACGGTGGCCTCCTCCCAGAGAGACACCAGGAGCCAGGCAGGGGCCCCTGCACACAGGACACAGGACGCACAGCCCACGCCCACCCCTGCCTGCATCTTCACGCCCGGACCTCCTCCTCGGCCCTAGATGTACTCCTGGGACTTAAGTGCACATCCCCTTTACTACAGACCCAACACAAGCTGTGTCAGAGCGGGTCGTGGGATGAGCTCACAGCCCCTTCATGGCAGCTGAGTGAGAAGTGGGGAGCCTGGGGCAGGAAGGGGCAGCCGCGGCTGGAGCCCCATGAGGCCCCAGGACGGAAGATGCGGACGGAGTGGGGTGCACCCTGGGGGCCTGACAGAGCGCCGCAGTCGGGCAGGCCCAGGCGGACGGGCTCCCGCCCTCCGGAGAACCAAGCGCGGGCCTCGGTGAGGAGGGGGCAGGGCCAGCCAGCCTCCCCTGCGCAGCCCAGCCGGCGTCACAAGGAACGCAGGACCCGGTAGTCCCGGTCAGGACGGGTGCCCACCGCATGCGTCGTGCCTGTGAGCCGCACCCCCTCGCTCTCCGGCCACTCTCCCCATCTGGGAATGACAGGCTGGACGCCCCCACAGACCCAAGACCCTCCTGTTTTCCTTGTGTGACTGCGCTTCCTTCCAGCCCAACCTTTACTTCTGTCCTCAACCTCAACACTGCCACCTTCTCAAAGCCTCTGGCCACCCCGGAAGAGGCTTTCTCCTAGAGCGATGGGCAAAAGCACTGGGCTCCTACGTGCCAGCCCTGGGTTGACAGGCTGAGCTCGGCCCCCGGTGCTGGCGCAGGCGTCACCTTGCTTAAGGGAGAAGTGAGGACCCCCCACTTCGTGCCTGACTCCAGGGTCACATGGGTCCCTAGCGTGCGCCACCAGCCTGGCCCCCACCGCCCTCTCCCAGGCTTCCACATCCTTCTGGTCTTTTCTAGGCCACCCAGATACAGAGGAAAGAACACCAAACATCACCTGCAAGTGTTCTGTAGCAAAGGCATCTTTAAAATCCCTGGCTGCTCTGGGCAAGGCACACAGCAATCAATCGGTTATTAAAGGTGCGCTTCGCAGGCTAACCCCATGAGTAGCGTCCACTCTGGGACAGGAGGAGCTCGCTGTGGGCTGGTGCTGGCGGACACACACAAGCCCCCTAGCTCTGGCCCAGGAGCACAGGGAGAAGGTTCAGGGGCTGGCTGAGGGCAGGACACCGGCTGGGGACCAAGAAGTCCTCCAAACACAAAAGGGAGACCATGTCACGAGCACCTGGGGGCTGGGTCGCATGGAGGGGCTTCGGGGCTCCCCCGGGTTGATCTAGACACGATGCTCCAGGGAGGACCATGTACTGAGCGGGCCCGCCGAGAGCCAAAATGGGCTGAGCGTGGACTGTCATCCTGCTCTCCCAAAGGAAAACAAGAGCTCCAGGTAGGCATTCCAGAGACGGCCTCGCCCACGTCCACCCCCAGGACGCTCTGAGGTCCAGGATGTGCAACAGGAAACCACTAGGAGCGGCCAGAGGGCTGGACAGTTACTGACCAGACCCAACTAAGACCGAGCCCAGATCCGGCCAGAGCCCAGGTGCTGAGGGGGGCCCAGTCTGGTGGCACAACCCCAGTCAGGGGCGCTGGCGGCCAGCCACCACCTGCAGTGAGAATGGCAACTAGCAGCCCAGGGCGATTTTGCACATGCCATCCCATCTCCACAGCGTGGCATTTCCAGCTCTGTCCTCACTCTGACAGCCTCTGCCAATATTTGATAAACATTTCCTACCAAAATAACTTTGTGGAGGCTACAGCCAACTCTAAAAGGAAATTTCACAGCTTGCACCATCAAAGAATAACTAATTATAGGCTGTGTCCCCACGAGTGCCGAGCTGTCTGCAGTGGACAGGCACTCAGGCACAGCTGCTCACCTTTTGGTATCGTAGTCGATTAGGACGTAATTCTCCATTGCAAGCTTGAGATCAGGGATTTCTTCACAGACCCATCTGAAAAACAAAAGCAGGAAAAGTAATGAAGATTACCCTTAAGCTCTATTTTTACTCTCCACTCCTTAAACACTGTTTACTCCCAAATACAAAACCCAAACATCCTCCTTACTCAACGACTCAAAATGTGACGGACAGAGGGGAGGCATTCCTTCAAAACAAATGCTGTACAATTTACAGTGAGTTGTGAATTATGAGTTTTATGCAGTTTCAAGTTCAAACCACAGTAATGACCACGAGCTTAAGTGGACTTGAATGGTGCAGGGTCGAGGACCCTAATCGGCTCAAATCAGAGACCTTGAAAAGCCACATAGCAATTAGAGCCTAAAAGGAACTCCTCTTTGATGAGTTCACAAATTCCAAGACAATCAATGGGGCTTCTTCCACAAACAAATTGCAAGAAAAAAAAAAGATGGATGGGGAGCCCACAGATTAAGGGACAGGAAAACATAACAGATCCTTCAGTGGATCTTGACATTATTTTGAAATAAATCCCCAAAGAGGAGACATCACTATAGGTCTAACAGAGAATAAACAGAAAATAAGGCAGGTTATGAAAAATTGTATGTCAAAAGACTCGACAAGTTAGAGAAAACAAATTCCTCAGAAGACAGCAGCTTCCAAAACTGACTCAAGAAGAAACAAAACATGAAAAGTCACGTGCCCACAAAGACCATGACTCCCTAATCAGATGCTTCCCAAAAAGAAAACTCACGGCGGTGACTTCCATCAGACATCGGAGGAGAAATAACACAAATTCTTTTCAGTGTCATGAGCCCAACTTTACCCAGGTGCAAAAACCATAGAAAGACAAACTCATTGAGAAGAGGGAAACCTACAGACCAATATCCCTCACAGGCACAGACACAAAAAACCTTTAAAAATACCAGTCAACCGAGTCAGCAACATGCCTCGACTGCAGTCTTCTCACATGGAGTTTAGCCAGGCCGCGGAGGCCACTTAACGTTCAGAAATGGATCACTGTCATCCACCACACGAGTGGGATGGAGAACACAGTATGAGCGTCACAACAGATGCAGAAAACGCCCATGACAGAATCCAGTCCCCATTGTTCAGGAAATGGGTGGAAAGCATTGCCCTGGAGCTGACAGGGCTGTGGCTGGGCGGTAGCCTCCCACAGCAAACCCGCCTTCTCTCTCCTGCCAGTGGCTCTCCAGGAGGGCCACGGGGCTGGACACTGGCGGAGGAGGAGCCTTCTCTCCTGTGTCATCAGTGAGAATTCCCCACCCGAGCAAGACATGGCTACTTAGCAGCCGCTGAATCCAGAAAGGCAGCAGTTTTCTCCACCACGCCCCTGCCCTGGGCACACACATCCTGACATCCCTGCTCTGAGGTCTGGGGTCCCTCCCCACTGAACCCCAAACTCACAGCCACCAGGGCAGCAGGGCAGCGTGCCCCCCAAGTGAGGTCTTCCCGGCTCCCTCAGTCCCCAGGTCCCGTGATGCATCAGAGCCCCTGGCCTTACTCTGAGTGCGCGCACACCTTTACTCCCAAGCCAGTCTCTGCTCAGCAGCACCCACAGCACCTGAGCAGGTCTGAGTCCTGCAGCCACTCCCACCAGGGTACAGGACCAAGCATTCCTGGGAGCAGAGCCCTCCCCCACCACTGTACTGGGGTGCCGGCCGGCGCCACGCGGCAGGGACTGGAAGGAAGCACTGTCTGCATTCACACACACAACTCAACACAGACTAATCTAAGGAATTTATACAGATGCTGCGAAGACTTGTGACTCGAGCAAGGTCACAGGAGAAAAGGTCAACAGGCAAAAATTAACTGTATTTACATACACCAGCAACAAAACATTTTTAAAAGAATTTTTTAAATGCCACTTAAAGTAGTATTAAAACATAGATACTCAAGCATAGTTTCAATGAAAGGTCTGCAAGACCTCCACACTGAGAACTGCAGAACACTGCTGGGAACTACCAGGCAAGCAGAGAGACATACGATGTTCATGGGATGGAAGACTCAGTATTTTGTAAATGCCCTTCTCCCCGAACTGAAATACAAATTCAAAGTGATTCCTATAAAAAGCCCAGTGCCAGTGGTAGGCTTTTTTGGAGAAACAGACAGGGCGACTCTAAACGTGACATACAAAGGCACAGCACCTAGAATAGCCAAAATGATCTTTGAAAAAAGCATTTGGAAGGCTTGTGCTGCTTCCTTTTGAATCTTACTATACAACTAAAGAGACCAAGAGAGCGCGGTGCTGATGTTGGCGTGGAGACAGACACATCAGTGACACAGAACACAGAATCCAGAGGTGGACTGATATTTAAACAACTGACTTTAGAGAAAAACACCACGGGGATTTGATGGAAAAAGTAAACTCTTTTCAACAAATGAGGCTGGAATGATTGAATATCAATGGGAAAAAGAAATAAATCTTGATCCTCATAAACATAAATGGCCATCTGACAATAACAAAACTTAATTCACAATTGCTCTTAATTAAACCTTAACATAAAAGCCAAAACCACAAAGCTCCTTGAAGAAAAACAAGAGAGTATCTTTGAATCTCAGGTAGGCAGAAATTTCCTGGACGTGACCCAGACAACTAAGCGTCGAAAAATGAACTGGTAAACTAAAAACTTTGTCATCAAAATGCCATTCAGACTGCCGCCAGCCACACTGCTCACGCTACAGTACCTCACTCGGCGCGCACAGCCGGGGTATGCCGAGGAGTCTTACAACTCAGGCAGGAGGAGAAAACCCAATCTCAAAATGCAGCAAACTACTCTCCATCAAAAGACACCAAAGCTCCCCAGAAAAGTGGCTGATTCTAAGATTGGAACACAGGGAATGTGGAGGAGTTTGGAGCACCGTGTGGTTCCAGAAAGTGAGGACATGCTCAGAGCAGGCACGGGACACACCACAAGAGCCTCAGCGGCAGCGTGGGCACAGCATGAGTGACAAGAGGAGAGCCGGCAGGTGGACCTGATCCCAGTGCGGAAACAGAGTTCTGGTTAATGATGTGGGGAGAACAAGGAAAACAGAAAGTCGCCTGCAGAATGCCCAGGTGGTGAGGTCCACAGATGGTGCTAGAATCGGTGGGCACAAGTCTGAGGAGAGACCGCCTCTAAGGACTTTCCCCAAGATATTTACTAATGGAAAAGGAAAAAATGGGGCCTTTATGTGGAAGGAATCTGGTAGGCGCCGCTGTGACCAGGTGACGGAGGTTAATGTCATGTCACAAGGCACGTGGGGGCCAGTGTCCCTTGCCGAGCCAAGAGCCCCTACCGTGAGTGGACACTCTTGTCTCGTGCTCTCTCTGCGCCCATTCCACATGATTCCGAAGTGGACAACAGACCTTACATCATTTCATCCATGAATATGTCATTATTCACCCATAAAAGTTAAAGAGTTCTTCTTTTTGCATGACTACAATGCCGTGGTCACACCTAGGGAAAATAACATCGGGAATAGCAAGAAATTTCCTAAAACCAATACAGGACAAGTGCGAAGACCCCACAGCTAACAATGCCTCAGTGAGGGGGGACTGAGTGCCGGCTTTCACTTCTATGGGATTGGTCCTGGCCAATTCAATATGTCAAGAAAATGAAATAAAATCACTAAGACTGGAAAGGAGTAAGTAAAACTGTCCCTACTTACTGATGATAAAGTTATTTCCACAGCAAGTGCCAAGAAATCTCTAAAACAACTACTAGAATCAATGAATTTACCCCAAGGTCAAGACTGATATACAAAAATCAAGTGTATTTTTACTTACGAGCATCAGGCAATTGGAAAGTAAAATTTAACACAAAATCCCATTTATAGAAGTGCCAAAAGTATTGTCTCTCTAGGAATAAATCTACCAAAAGGTGTGGAAGACCCCCCACACTGAAACAATAGAACACGGCTGAGATAAATGCTGGGCGCCCCGTAAGTGGGAAGCCATACCGTGTTCATGGATCAGGAGGCTCAATACCGACGGCAAATCTCTCCAAAAGGACCCGTCGATTCAATACAATCCCTATCAAAATGATGTAAAAAATCAACAAGCTAATTCTAAAATTTATATGGAAAAGCAAGAAGGTTTTGGATAAACAAAACAATATGTAAAAAGAAGAACAAAGGTGGAGGACCTGCCCTGCCTGATTCCAAAGTCAATATAAAGTGACAGTAGCCACAGTTTTTAACTGGCCAAAGTATAGAGATGTGGGTCAGGGGAACAGAACAAGGTCTACATAAGAACGAACTTGTATGCTACCAATTGATTTTTGACAAAGGGGACAAGGAAATGCCACAGAGAAGGGACAGTCTCATCAACAAATGTTGATGGAACCACTGGACATCCATATGAAAAATAACAAACTTCAACCCACACCTCACAACAGATGTAAAATTTACTCAAAATGGATGAGAAGTCTTCAATATGAAAGCTAAACTAAAAACTTCTAGAAAACATAGGAGAAAACCTTTGTGACCTCGGGGTTAGGCAAGTATTTCTTAGGATGCAAAAACCCCCAAAACTCTAAAAGAAAAATCTGGATAAACTAGGCCTTTGTCAAAATTTAAGATAACTGTTCTTCAAAGGACACTGTTAACAACACAAAGAGACGAACCATGGACTGGGAGAAAACATTTGCAAAACATACTCCTGATAAAAGACTGGTAACCAGAAGACACACATACGCTCAAAATTCAACGGTAAGAAAACAACTAACCAATTCTTAAAAATAAGCAAAAGCTGATCAACACATTAGTTACCAGAGAAATGAGAACTGAGACCACAGTGAGATGCCACTACTCAGCTCAGATTAGAGCAGCGAGGGCAGAGCACACCAGCAGTGCGTGCCGGCGCAGATGGGAGCTGCGGGAGTGGCCCTCTTGGGAAGCATCCTGGCAGCTCCTCCTAATGTTGCCATACAGCCTTGCAATCCCACTCCTGGCTATTTACCCAAAAGAAACAAAGACGTGTCCACACACAACCCCTAAGACCCATGAGAACATTTATAACAGCTTTGTTTATAACTTCAAAAAACTCAACACGTCCATCATCTGCTCAACAACCAACAGACTGTGGCCCATCTGACAACTGAGCTCTCCTTAGTAATGAGCAGTGATAGACACAACACGGATAATCTCAACACCACGTGCTGAAAGAGGCCAGGAAGAAAGAAGTACATACGATACGATTTCATGTACATAAAATTCTATAAAATGCAAAGCGGCCTGCAGCAGCAGAAAGCAGATCAGTGGTTGCCTGGAACAGGGGTGAGGGGACAGTGGATCACAGAGGACATGAGGAAGCCTGTGGGGTGACACCACTGACTGGCTCATTGCACAAACTGTTTCACTTAATCCTCAAAGCGATCTTGCAAGGAGGCATTGCACAGCTCAGGAGCAAAGCACGCATGCTCAGCGAGCTGGAGGGCCTTGGGTCGGGCACACAGCCGCCAGGTGGCAGGGAGAGCAGGCCAGGGCTCACAGCACAGCAGGGGCTGGAAAGCACCACGGCTCAGCCTGCCGCCCCCACTGCACTACACGGCCAAGGGTCCTGAGGAACAGCGCATGGCAAGGCCAAGGCCGCACACACCACTGCATGCAGGAAGCAGGAGGCGCCACCGAGTCCGCACTGTGGGCACCCGGAAGGCGTCCCAGACCTCAGTCCAGGATGGGGAGAAAGCCTGAAGAAACATATCAGCAATGCCCTCACCCCGGTCCTGGCCAAGGCTGCCAGCTGACAGGCCCATGCCCTCTGCACACTCACAGGGCAGGGACAGCTCTCGAAGGGCTATGAAGGGGGCTGGGGAAGCGTCAGACCACCAAGGGCACAGCCAACTGAACCCAGCAGCACATCAAAGCCAGCCGGGACAGGACAGGAGAGGGACGGGCTGAGGCGGTGGGCGGGGGTTCCAAGAGCCCTGTGGCCAGGCCGGGCCTTCCACCCCCTTCCACAGGACGCCAAACTCCGAGAGCATGGAGACCTGCCCAGGGCCGCACGGGTGGGTGACCTGGACTCTGACCAAGCTGTCAGCTGCTCGGGTCTGGTGGAGATGCACCCAGGGATCGCAAAAGGAGTGTGCGAGGCTGAGCTGGCTGAAAGAGCACAGGTGGGGCGTGGCCTGGGCCCATGGGCCCTGGAGCCAGGCCTCAGCTGGGGGGCCCCCAACTGGGGCAGCCCCGCCTGCCCGCAGGTGCGCACTCACCGGATGGTCTCGATGATTTCATGAGCAGCATCGTGGTGTTTGTCCTGAAAGACAAAGGGACAGGGTTTACGCCCTGCAGCAGTGCCACACCGCACAGTGGCCTTGGGAGGGACCTGTAGGGATGGGGCCTGGATGAGTCTATGCCCACTGACCCTCCTGTCCTGTCCCCAGCCTGCACCTTTGCTGCCCAATCCACGCACACGTGGCGGTGTTCCTGCGGCCGTGCAGTCACAGGCCCAGCTCCGAGTAACCGGGACCCCCGGGCCTCTGCTTCCCAAGCAGAAGGCTACTGACTGAGACAGTGGGAGATGGACATGAGGGGTTCCCTGGGCCCTCCACTTTGGGGGTCATGTGAAGACGTGTGTAACAGCACATCTGTTCCTGCGGCAGGCTGCACTTGACTGTGATGGACAGCACGCCTGTGTCCCAAACCCACACGCTGAAGCCTGGACCCTGGGGGGAAGGTGTACACAGGTGGGGGCTCTGGGAGCCGTTCACAGGGCGACACGAGAGAGGCAGTGACAAGGAGCCAGCCGCAGAGCAGTGGGCCTCAGGGCCCAGCAGGGAGGAGGGCACCGTGGAAAGCAGCAGCCAGGAGCGTGGACTCTCACCCAGTGGCCACGAACCGTGCCGGAAGTGTGGCTGGGAGCCAGGGTCAGCAGCTACTGGCTAACTGTGCTTCTGCGGCTGCATCTGGAGCCCCAGGGGCCCAGGGGCCACCCCACCTCTGACTGAGGCACAGAACACTCTCAGGGCACCTCCCACACCTGGTGATGAACGCACACACCAGGGAGCCCCTGCCTGGGAATCCCTGCGGGGATGGCCGGGAAGGGGCTGCTGAGCAGGCGGCCAGCTCCCTGCGTGTTCTCTAACCCCAGGTCTGCACCACTACCATCTGCACCCATTTCTGCCTCTGCATGCTCGGAAAAGGAGCTGGGCTCTGTGGGACAATAGCCCATTCCGGGGCTGGGGCAAAGAAGGGACAGGATGGGCCCGGACATCCCTGGCCAGGAAGTGCAGACGTGCCCAAAACGGACGCCCCCGGCGGCTGCTCTAGGCCAGCAGGAGTGGGACAGGGTGAGGGGCTGGGTCATGACCCAGAGGATGATGTGAGCATCCACCAGCCAAGGGACGCTGGAGCCTGTGACTGAGCAAGTGGGGAGAAGAGCCCGGTCTCCTGCAGGGTCCCAACACGCTCAGGAAGGAAGAGGGCAAAGGTGGAAGGTGCCACCCTGCAAATGCCAGAGCAGAAGCTGTGGGCCGGGGCAGAGCGTCGGCCGGCCTGCAGGACCAGGAATCCTGTGGGGCCAGACCACCTCCCCCAGGAAGACTCGGCAGACCCGCCCTCATGGGGCTCGGGGTCAGTGTCCTCGGCGGTAAGGCTCACGGGCCCTGGGGCCACGCACCAAGGACAGGTGCCCCCTGATGGGAGGCGCACGTGAGGCCAGCGGGCCCAAGCTGGGGAGCGCCCCACAGACGCCAGAGCAGTGTCTTCCAGCATGCAGGTCATGAAAGGTGCTTGCCTTTCCTTACAGACAGAGGAGAGGCCACAGATCAGAGCTCAGGAGGCGGGAGCCTGGCCACGTCCAGGTGGCTCCTGGCACCACGGGCCAATGAGAGCACACGGAGACTCTCTGAAGTCTCAAATCCACTCAAAGGTGAAATTTTTATAGTTGTGTTGGAAGCTCAGACACAGAAACTTCTGCAAATGCAGACACACCAGATACGGTGCCATCAGGGTGTGAACACAGCTGGCCACAGCCTTGCCTGGCACAGCCTCAGGCACATCCCTAAGCCCCCCCTGTCCGGAAGGCCTTCTCACCCACCTGGCGGCCACCTTCTGCTGCCCTCTCACTGCACAGAATGCTCTGAAGATAAATGTAGTGCATTTAAAGTCTCGTGAATAAGACGAGTAAATCCATGAATTTCATGGCACCTCTTCAGCTAAAAGCTTAACCTCCTCAGCTCTGAGTAAGGAAGACATGTCATGTGGACACCCACATGAACAAGCACCAGAGTAGGGCCTGAACACATTCAAACACCCCAAAATTCAAGGTGTGGTCAGTTTGCCATTTTAATCATTGTCCTGGATTTCAATGAGACGCTTCCCTTCCACAGATACCTTGATGAGGCCCTGAGGCCAAAAACACACTTGAGACCCCAGGCGCCACGCCAGTCCGAGTTCACGGTTCAGCTCGCCAGGTAGGAGCGAGAGCAGCTCACTGAGGGCTTATTCTTACATGACCAATTCAGGTACTCAGGACAAGAGCCCCCTACCAGTTCACAATACACAGGAACCCAAAAAGAGAGGCCCTGAACACACGTAAAGGGCAAAGCCAAAGGTAAGACTGTGGGGCAGGAGGGGGCCCCCACCCTGGAGACCAGCCTGTGGGTCCCAGCAGCAAGACTCAGGGTCACTCTGAACAGAGAGCAGCTGTGGGGCACGGGCCTGCAGGCACACACACCCTGGGGGCAGAGCAGAGAGCCTGGGCAGATGGCGGTCAGACGGCGGGGGTGGCAGAACAGGCAGAACTAGAGGGGCAGCAGGACACCCGGGCTCCGGTTCAAAACAGGGAGCCCTCTGCCCCCCAACGCAACAGCAGGAGGCTTGCAGGCACAGAACGGCAGAGGCGCCCGGCTGCGCAGCCTCGGTCACTCCAGCACAGCCCCTCGTCCGCAAGCTGGATGCTGCGGGGTCGCACCTGCACTGGGAAGCCCTTGTCTTCATCCAGGTCCTCCTCCCAGACGTCCACACTCAACTAGCAGGGTCTTCAGACACCACGTAGCCGCTGGCACACGTGTAGCCGGCCATGGCCTTGCTTGGCACATCCGGGAGCCCAACCTGCCCGGCAGACCTTCCTACCCACCCAACAGCCACATCCTGCTGCCCTCTCACTGCACAGAATGCCCAGATAACCCAGCTCACAGCCCCAGTTATCCACAGAGCTCTGAGCCCGCTGTTAGGGTGGGAGGCAGCGCAGGAGACATCTCAACCGCTTACTTAGAGCCCCACACAGTCCATGGATGCGGTGTGCCTCCTGGGGGGCACTGGCTCCCACCACCCCACAGAGCACAGCGTCCACAGGACAGCAGTCAACACAAGCCAGGAAGTGGCAGAAAGCACCAGGCTCCCAGTCACTGCTTTTGAGCTTCACTAGTTTCAAGAACTATGCTCACATGGCCCCCAGAATAATGTCACACTGCAAAAAGGGACAGAAAGTGGGCGGCTGACGCTGCTGCAGGAGGAGGACGCTGAGTCAGCGGTGTGCAGGCCTCACCACCCCGCCCCTGGGATTCTTTGCTCCAAGGAAATGTTCCCTGCTCGGCTAAAAGGCACAGCTGTGACAACAGCCCGAATGACCACCAGGAAGGAGGGCTCAGCTCCTGCTGCCGCCTCCACGGCATCTCCCCACGATGCCCGAGTCACTGCAGGCAGCTCAGGCCAACCCTGACCGGCACAGGCCTTGCAGCAAACGAGGCTGGACAGAGGACAGGGCTCCCTGCTCCATGGTCAGAAGTCCCACCCAGTGCCACCCCAACCACCCAGAATACAAGGTGGCCTTCAGTAGACACCCACAGAAAGGCACTTCAATGAAAGAATCAACCCGCGAGCCCCTCAAGTCACCATGGAAAAGCAGGAAGGGGCCACAGGGACTCCACGAGGCTGTATGTCCAGCTGAACAAGGAAAGAGAGGACACCAAAGTGGGCATGCAGAGGGGGCCCCAGAGGGGTCTCAGAAGCAGAATGAGGGGTGTGGTGGGAAGACAGAAAGCCCAGGGCCCATGGAGGCCCTTCTGACAGGGAAAGCCCACCAAGTGGCAGGCACAGCCACACGTGCCTCCCACCCTGAGGACAGAGGCCGACTGAGAGCCTCACAGGGGCCTCAAGACCCCACCACCCGTCCACCCAGAGGGGAATATCACTCGGCCACAGAAAGGAGTGGGTCTCTGGTGTTCACCCCACGTGTGTGCAGTGAGAGATGTCAGACACACAGGCCACATGGTGTGCCATCCGTTTCTGTGGACCGTCCACAATAGGAGAACGTGGGCTTGTGGGTGCCAGGGGCTGGGGAAGACGTTTATATGGGGAGAGATGGAATGCTTTGGAATGACAGATGGTAGGTGCACACCACTGTCAATGTACTCAAGTCCAAGGAAGTGTATTTTGGATGGAGAGGTTGCATGGTAGGTAAATTATATCGCAATGAAGCTGTTAGTAAATCACAAGAACCACTCCTCCAAGCTCCCCGGCCTTCCGCTTTGTGAGGGCACAGAGAGAAGGTGCCAGCTATGAGCCAGGAAGCAGGCCCTTACCGGGGTGTAACCACGCTGATGCCTTGATCTCGGGCTTCCCAGCCTTCACAACTGTGAGAAATAAACTGCTGCTGCTTAAAAAAAAAAATCACAAAAACCAGGAGACTGGCAATGCCCGTGCACCGCAGCTGACTCACCTCCTGGCCCGTCTGGCCTCCCCTCCGGGTCCAGCCCCCTCAGCAGCAGCCCGTAGGTATCCAGAGCACCTCCAGCAGACCCCACCCCCCAGCCTGGCCCTGCAGCCCCAGCAGCTGCTGCTTGGTGGAGGCCTCACTCCCCTGCCACTCCAGGCACAGAGCAGACACACCACAGGCCCCGCAGCCCGGGCACGGCCCAGTCCTGCCAACCACTCTGACCAGACCACAGCCAAGACAGCCGTCCTGTAAGGGCGAGACCCACTTGAGCCGCGGGGTTCCCAGCTCCCTGCAGGCTGCACTTCCCTCTGCAGGCCCTTCCCTTTGGGGGCACTTCCCTATGGGGGGACTTCCCTATCCCGGGTACCTTCCCTATGGGGGGGTCCTTCCCTATGGGGGGGACTTCCCTATTGGGACCCTCCCCCCAGTGCCAGCCCCCACACAGCACACCACCTGCCCCGGAAGCCCTTCCCACTTCAGAAAAAGTAGCGTCGGGTTTTCTAATGACAAGTGTTACTAGAATGACCATCTCCCACACACACCCACACCAGGCGTGATTCTACTGAGCTTTCTGTGCGCTGGGCCGCATGCGTCACAGCTAGCATGCACCCGTGACTAGCCAGGGGGAAGTCAAGCTGAGGGAGCGCAGGTTTGTGATTGATCAGATGAACAGTAAAGCACCAGAGGCCTCAGCTTCCCAACCTCTGACCTCCAACCTCTGGGTCAGGTGGTAAGAAAGCCCAGACGCAGCAGCCCCGCTAGCAGCGCCCCAAGCATGAGGCATGGACAGGCAGGGGCCATCCATTTGGGGACACAGGAACAATCCCAGGGCCTAGTGACCACAACAGAGCGGGAAGGAAGCCGGCCTGGAGGGCAGAGGCTGGGGTGCAGCCGGAGGGAGGCAGCGGGGGAGCACCAGGGAAGGGCTGAAGGACGGCAGGGGACACCCGGCACCCCAGGAACGCAGCAGATCCCCGGTAGCCACCCTCAGACTCCACCAGTGTCGCCGCATGGACTAACAGGAGGCCCAGCTATGGGAACGCAGGGACGGGAGGACAGACAAGGTGAGAAAGAAGCTTCTGGAAGTGCATCCCTGAAGGAGAGAAAGGGAACAGGAGTGTTACTCAAGGAGGCCGAGGCTCACCTACAGCGGAAACACAAGCCGGAACTGGGATCCAGTCACTCAGACACAGACGGTCAGCACCCAGGTCCCCGCATTCAAAAGGGGGCCCCCCGAAACGCTGTGTCTGACCCGTCCAATGCCCATTATCTGTTCTCTAGTTGTGAGATGCCACCATTGGGGGAAACAGGGAGAGGGCCTGGGATGTCTCTGCGCTCTTCCTAACAGCTGAGAATGAGTCTAAGATCATCTCAAAACTAGAAGTTTAAAAAAACAGGACAGCGCTTCTGCGGGTCTCCCGCGGCTCTCCCCTCTGCCTCCCCAGTGAACACGGCCCCCACCATCGCGAACAGGGTCTGCAGCAGGCAACTGGGTCTTAAAACCTACCATTTGTGGTAATATTTTAGATGAAAATAAATTACTTTAAATGTCTTGTAAGATCTTGGGTCCCATAGCTTTAGGGTCCCTTTCTAGTACCACCACGTGTGTCTGAGAACGAACAGCCACCCACAGAAGACAGGCTTTCCTGAGGTCCCTTCCCCTTTGAAAGCGGCTTCTCCACTCACACGAAGGCACTGAAGGGTTAATCTGCCTTCCGCCGGAGCTGGAATTAGCCAGAGGGCAGCTCAGAAAACCCGCCCTGAGTCCCAGGGCTGGGGAGTCCCAGGGTGGGCTGGCTCACGCCCCCACCTCAGCTACTCACCAGCTGTGAGGCAAGACCGCCCAGCGTGTCATCAAAGAACCTCGGCTCCAGGGGAAGCCGGAGGCGGGGCAGTCAGGCCCAGGCCCCCAGCCCCCAGCATGGACAGATCAGGAGGCACGGGGCCACTCCCGCCTGACACCAGGCGACCAAACACCGCAGGCCCCCTTCTGAGCTGGGAGCTGGCCTGCCCACCCAAAGAATGCCATCGGCTTCAGAAGAGCCACCGAGAGCTGCACGTGGACATGCAGGGACTGTCACTGGAGGACCAAGATGCCCCGCCTCCCCCTCAGATGGTCAATTACGCAAAAGCCTGTTTCTGAGGCTGGACGCTTCCGAGTCCGGGGGTTGTGGCTGTTTGCACTTCCTGCTACAGATGCCCCCTCCTCCAAGAAGTCGCCCACACCTCCTCTGGGGCAAACTGGCAGCCTCCCCCTTGGGGCCTCAGCGATGCCTGTGGCACTGTAACTCTGCTGAACTTTGGTGTTTAGAGATCGCCCACCTTACTTGGTTTGCAAGTTTCCTGAAAATGAGAATATTGTCTCTTGTCCTCAGTGCCCCAGGAACACTGTCAATACTCAGTACGTGCTTGAGGAATGAATCAAAGAACAAACAAGCCCAGTCATTTCAAATGTAATGCTGCATGAGTAATGTGACCTTCTAAAAAGTCAAGCTTCCCAAGCAGCCCATTCTCTTAATGTATTCATCATAGAAGCATCAAAAAACATGAACTCTTACGAAGTGCTGCCCCCTCCTTTCCCATGAGAAAGCAGAATTCCTCAGAGGGCACACAGAAGGTTAACAGACGTCATGGCAAAGTTGTAAGGCGGGTGCTGTACCCCTGCAGCCAGCCAAGACTCCCACTGGGCCCTCCTGCCCGCCCACCGGGTCGTGGGACAGCCACCCTGGGAAAGGCCTGCTGAGGTCAGGCACCTGGCCAGGCAGGCAGCACACACCGGTGCCCTGCCAAGCGAGGTCCTGGCCAGGGAGGGAAAGACCCTCGGCGGTTCAGAACCGCCTACCCGCCCGACACCAGAAAGGCAGGCCTGGCCACGGAGCAACACAGGAGGCCTTATTTACAACGGTTACAAATCGCTCTGGCCTTGCTCCGCCCCCAATAACAGCCGGTGCCAGGATAACACGACTGTCTGCGAATGACCTTTCACTCGGTGTCAAATGCCTGGATGGTGGATCACGGTGCATTTCTTAGCTTTTTCGACGCTCAACGATACCAATTTGTAGGATGGAAAAATGCCAACCGCACTCTGAGCGCGGCACCAACCGTCCGAGCCCACTATTTTCCCAAGGTGAACACCATGACCACATAGAAACCTGCCCGCAGACGTTCCCAGCAGCTTTATTCGTCATCCCCCTAAAACTGGAAGCACCCCACAGGCCCTGCCACCGGCGGGGCGAACGGCTGAGAGAAGAACGCCGGCACATAGCAACCGAAAGGCGCGGCCCTGCCGCACCAGACCCCACAACGGGACGCCTCGCGAGGGCGACAGGATGCTCCAGGCGACGGAGCTGTCAGAAGCCCCGCGGCCGTACGCTCCGGAGAGAACTACACTGCCCGTCAACCCCGGATAATGAGTGATTCGACTTTAAACCGCGCAACGGCCAGCCAACCAGCACGCGCTGAGCGCTGGAACCGGGCGGCAGGGCGCCGCGGCTGGGCTGTTGGAGGTTCTTCCCCCTTTGTTCCCGCCCCCTGGACGGCGCCCCGCCCCGCCCGGACACACTCGGCCTCTGTCCCACCGGAAAAGCCGGGAACCGGGCCCAGCCTCGCCTCCGGGCGCAGGATGAGCAAAAATAGAAAGCCTCGGGACGCGCGTTGGGCTGGAAACCACGAAACCCTCCGACTGCGGAGAGCGCAGGGCGGGGAGCCAACACGGCTCCGGGGCGGGGCCTGCGTGCCGGCCCCGCCCCCGGACGCGACGTTTGCAAAAACTGACACTCGGAGCGCGCGCGCGAGGGGCGGGGCGCGCGGGCTTCCCCGCCGGGTGCCCTGGAGGCCCCGTCTCCCCTCAAGACGTGCGCGCCAAAGGGCGCCCCAAAGACGCCCGCCCACGGCGCCCGGCCCAAGCGTGGGCTTAGGAACACCGCACGCGCGCCGCGCCGTCGTCCCCCGCGTCCCTGCGTCGCTAGACTCACCCGGGGGCGCCTTTGTAAATTTCCCCTCGGCCTGTCATTTTCCAAGGGTCACTCAAGATTAAGGGGACAGAATGCCTGGTTTCCAAGGGTCCGGCCAGCGCACCCCCTCAAGACGGGGGGTACAGAATGCCTGGTTTCCAAGGATCCGGCCAGCGCACCCCCTCAAGACTGGGGGGACAGAATGCCTAGTTTCCAAGGGACCGGCTGGCCCACCCCCTCAAGACTGGGTGGCAGAATGCCTGGTTTTCCAAGGGTCCGGCCGGCCCACCCCAAGACCGGGTGACAGAATGCCTGGTTTAAGAAAAAGCCGGGGAGAGGAGGAAAGGGTGTCCTCAAAAATAAAGCTGAGCACACTGACAGCGCAAAGAATAAACTACCCCAAAAAAGGCAGAGACACCCAGAATATCACAACGTAAACAGACAGGCAAACTCGCGGGCCTGGCGGTCCACGGCCGGGGGACAGGGTTCCGGGCTGAGCGGTAACGGCAGCGCCCTCGGGGCGCGCGGGCGCTGGCAACGGCCGAGGGCCCCAGCGGGGCGGGAAGGGGTCCCGAGGACGGTTTGGGCTGGAGGCTCGGTTTCTGGGCGCGCGCCGCACGGGCGAGCCGGGCCCTGGGCCGGGGCGGGGCGGCACTCACGTAGACCGGCAGCGGCCACGGGTAGACGGCAGGCTCGGCCCCCACGGGCGACTTGAGCCTCAGCTCCAGCTTCTCCCCCATGTCGGCGCGCGCGGCCGCCGCACCATGCTAGGCGGGCGGCTGGAGGAGGGGCGTGGCGCCGCCGGCGGGGGCGGGGCGGGGGGCTGAGGGGAGGGCGCTGGCCTGGGCCGCCGCCGCCGCCGCCGCCTCGCTCCCGTCTAGCCCCGGCTCCTCTTTGTGGTCACAGGCCCGGGACCTCCAGCGCCGCCGCCATCTTGGGCCGGCGTGAGGCGAGCACAATGAGCCGGGGGCCGGGCCGAACCACTCGCTGCGCGCGCGCGGGGGTTCCCGGCGCGAGAAAGCTGCGGGCGCCCGCTACCCCGCCCGCCGTGCCGCGCGCGCTCTCCCCGCCGCCCTGCCTCGTGGGCTCGCCCGCAAGAACGCACGCACGCACGCACGCACGCACGCACGTCCTCGGCTGCCCTCGGCCGCCCGCACGGGTGCGGAGTGGGGACCCGGGGAGACCCTGCGGAGCTTGGACTGGGATTCGAGCCCTGCCGTGGGAAGGGTGCCACGGGGTTGGCTGGACGCCCCCAAACATTCCAGATGTGGTCGAGAGGTATTTTCCAGATGAGATTAATATTTTAAATCAGTTGACCATGTACAGGTTGTGCCCCTCACCACGGCTGCCATAGTGCGGGTGGGCCTCGTCCTATCAGTTGAAGGTCTTGATATGCAAAAACATGAGGTGCCCTAGAAAGAGGTACCCAGGTGAGGGGTGGAGGTGAAAGTAGCTGTGCCCCCCACAGGTGCTTCTCACAGGCCATGGTGGGGGTCAGAGCCCATCTGAAAGAGGAGACGCCGTAGCTTCCATGTGTTGGCAAGTCTAGACCATGGGTGCTGGAAATCAGGACAGTGGTTACCCTTGTGGTCAGGGGGAGAAGGGGGTCATACAGGGACATCCACTTTGTGAAAAACTACCTATCATGCACTGTTTTCTGTTTATCAATAAAAAGCTTTTTAAAGACACTTTCTGGTTGCTGTGAGTTGAGTAAATTGGGAGGGAGAATTGAGGAAGAAGCAGAAAGGGAGAGAGGAGGCTGGGGGCTGGCTACCCAGGGGATAAGGAGGGGAGAAGACCCAGAAGGGGGATCACCACCAGCCCCACCCTGCCCCCGAGTCACACAAGTCACATGCAGCCAGCAAAGTAGTTCAGCTCTGTGAGCTAAGAACAGCCGGTAAGGTCCCAGGGAGAAGGTCCTGCTCCGTCCCTGCTGACACCTGCCCCAGCCTGGAAAACCCAAGCCCAGCGCCACCCCCAGGGAAGACAGCCAGCCACCTCAGCTCCCGGTTCTCAGGTTCCCGGCACTGGGAGCTATTTTAAGTTTCATCCCACTGAACACAGTGGCAGCCTCAGCTAGTGTGTCAAAAAACCCCTCTGACCCCCTCCCTTCCTCCATCTCTTCCCCTCCCCTCCTTGCTGCAGAGAGACCCCCAGGGACCTCCGACTCAGCCAACCAGAGAATGGCTCACAGACAGCTACTCCCCATTGGACCCCTCCCCATGCCTCACCCCCACTGTCTGAGGGATGGCAAAGCAAGCCCTGGTGGGGCCCAGAGCCATCGGCACGTGCTGTTCCCAGCGTAGACCGTGCTTCCTAAGACTCCCCTTTCCCGTGTCACTCCTGCTCTCCTCACTTCCTCCAGAACCTTCCTGGACACGCCCAGGCGAGGCCAGGCCCCAGAGTACACTTCACGGAACTCCTGAATTCCAATCCTGCCCCACCCTTCCCCGCTGGGTGACCTTGGGTGAGTCTCCTAACCTCTGCTAGTTTCCTTATCTAACAGTTCCTGCCTCTAGGTGTTTGGGAGGGTGTTAATATAGAAAGTGCTAGAACCATGTTTGGTGAATACAAGTTGTTTGCCCTTCATGCATTCATCCATCCATCCCTTTGTTCAACTCCTCTATTCAACAGGTGTTTATTAATCACCTGCTACTTAGCAGGCACTCTTCCAGGTGCTGGGCGCATAACAGCCCAGAGCAAATCAGGAACCCGGTCCTCATATTGCTCACAGTCTAGAGAGGGCGACAAGCAACAAACTGATGAGATCTAATTAATGATAAGGGAATGATATAACTGAGACCTGCGCAACAAGGCAAGGGGTGGATGGCAGGGGACAGCCGTAAATGCAGGCTGAAACCAAGGAGCGGACCTGTCCGGAGCAACACTTGTTGCTCCAACACTGCTGTCCCATCCCCTGGGGACACTGGGCAGTGTCTGGGGACATCGCGGTTGTCAGTAGTGCTGAGGGGGAGAGACCTTGCTCTAACATTACTCTGAGGGCTTGGTTCCTCCAGAATTCTGGGAGGGCAGGGACTCTATCCCAGCACCTGTGCATCATCAGATTGAACCTGGAGTGGGGCTGCCAGGCAGGGTGCAGTCAGGCCGTGGAGGTGAAATGACAAATGCGTATGTGCACCCCACCTAAGCGGGAGAGGTGGGGCAAGCCCCAGGTGCGAGGGCCCCCGTCGCCTCCTGGCGTCCAGTGCTCCTGCCAGAGCCACCCGGTGGGCTCAGCTTAAGGGCAGCTGGCACCCTGCACCTTCTCGGGCTGGCAACCATCCTGTGTTACTGATTTTAAGACGTATCCGGGTACCACAAATGTAAAGAAGAGACTCAGACATGTTCAAACCAAGGAAATACACTATTATCTTTGTTAAACACACACTCCATTTTAGAATCACTTAGATTTGCCAAAAAGTTACAAAGATGGCCCAGAGCATCCCTACAGACCCTAGACCTGCCTCCTCTGTTACGTCGGTATGATACATTTGTCGAAATGAAGGAACCAATATTGCTACATTATTACTAACTAAAGTCCAAACTTTATATGAATGTCCTTAGTTTTTCCCTAGCCGCCTTCTTCTGCCCAGTGTCCCATGGGCTGTGACAGTTTCTCAGATTTTCCTCCGTTTTGATATCTTGAAAGTTTTGAGGGGGACTGCTCAGGTATTGTTCCCCTAATTTTCTTTTTCTGGTGTTTTTCTTCTGGGTAGTCTGCTGTGATGGAGATTGGGGAGGAAGACCCTAACAGATTTAAAATGCCATTCTCACCAGACAACATCAGGGATACATGCTATCAACAGGACTTACAACCAGTGACGTTAACCCTGATCATTTGCCCACTGTTGTCTTTTGAACGCCGGGAGAAGGCTCCCCTCCCCCAAACAGCCAAAAATTCAAGAGACTGAAGTATATATACAGTGTTGTTTAGGAGGGGGGCACTAGAACCCCCAGGCATTACTGATGGGCATGCACATTGGAGCAGCCACTCTCCAAAACTACTTGTCAGGACCCACCAGAGCAAACCATTTGTACTTCACATCTCAGCAATTCCGCTCCTAGGTGTACAGTCAGGAGAGGAACGTGCCAATGTCCCCACTGAAGGATGCACACTAGCACGTCCACAGTGGCTTTGTTCATAATGGTCGACAACTGGAACCGCTTAAATGTCCTTCTGGAAGAGACTGGGTGAATAAATTGTGGTATATCCATACAAAGGGATACCACCCAGCACGGAAAAGCCGGAGCCACTGATAGACACACCCACCTGGAGGGATCTCACAGACACCGTGATCGGGTGCAGGTGACCCAACACAACAAAAGCCAGCTTACTTTAAAACTTCATTTATACGGAGTTCAAAAACAGGAGAAACTAATGAATTGTGTTAGAAGTCAGACACAGGTTGTCTCAGGAGGTATTGGCTAAGAAGAGACATGTGGGACTTCTGGGGGCTGGATACATTCTACACCAGGGCCTGGGTGGTGGTTACCTGCAGAGAGAGAGAGAGGGAGAGAAATTAGGATCCTACTCACTTGAGATGAGTGGACTTATGTCCTTTTTGTATGTATGTTATCCATCAAATAAAACAAAAGAAAGAAAAGAATAAAATAAAATACAACAGAGCTAGATTGGTGAGATTGTAAAATGGAGCAGTCACTGTGGAAAGCAGTTTTGGGGTTCCTTGAAAAGTTAAACATAGAATGATCATATGATTGACTAATTCCACTTGACATGTTTACCCAAAAGAGTTGAAAATGGGGATTCAAACAGATGTTTGTACAGAAATGTTCATGAAAGCATTTTTCACAATACTCAAAAGGCAGAAACACCCCAAGCACCCATCAACAGGTGAATGGATAAACAAAATGTATATTTTCACAGAATGGAATATTATTCAGCCTTTAAAAGGAAGGACATTATCTAGCTTGGATTAATACTTAGTCTACAGGCACAGACCTGATCACCTACACTTGCCCTCTTACAGCACTAAATTATGCTTTCTATCTTTATCTTGCATCTACCTACCACTTCAGCATTTTATTAAAAAAAATAATGGAGAAATGTGGGATTCACATGTAAATCGAGTATAAAAATCAAATGAATAATCATATCTGACTTGATTGTTTATACTTCATGATCAAAATTGAAAGTTTCTGTGATGACTGCCCTTGCACTGTTCACCATGTAAGAACTTAGTCACTATGTAAGAACTTGTTCACCATGTAAGAACTTGTTCGTTATGCTTCAGAAGATTGGAGACTGTTGAGAATTAGGCTTGGGGTTGATTAATGATTGTGCATTGAGTCCCCTATACAGAATTTTATTTTTGTTAACAACCATTTGGTCAATAAATATGAGAGATGCCCTCTCAAAAAAAAAAAAAGGAAGGACATTATGACACCTGCTACAATGTGGATGGACTGTGAGGACATGGTGCTCAGTGAGAGGAGCCAGACACAGGACAGACCCTGTCTGATCCCACTCCCAAGAGGTCCCCAGAGGAGCCCCATCCATAGAGACAGAAAGTGGGTGCGGGAGGGGGTGGGGAGTGAGTATTTCATGGGGACAGAGCTTCCGTTTGGGAAAATGGAAACTTCTGGACATAGGGGTGGGGATGGCTGCATGGCATGTGAATGTGCTTCATGCCACTGAATATACACTTAAGATGATACATTTTATGTTGTGTGCATTTTACCACAATTGAGAAAAAAACATTGGTAGCATAATAGCAAGATTATCAGACAAGAGTTGGCTTCTGCCCCAGAAATCTAGAAACCCCTTGCTTTGTCCTGAGACCAATGAGATCATTCCTGGCAAGCCAGGAAGCATGAACACATCAGTGTCAGCAGGGAAGGAGGATTACAAACCTGCATGTCCAGTTGAAGGTCAGCCCGCAGATGTAACTTTGGAAAGATGTCTTCATGGAGAAAGATGTGCAAGAGACAAGAACAAAGCAAGATGCAGATGAGTGTGTAGAACAGGCTCAGATTTGTAGGTATGCATGTGTGCAAAACATGCTTGCATATAAGCAGGTTCTTTCTGGCTCACAAGAAATACATCACAGTGGTTGTAACTGGAAGGGATGGATGAAAGGCAGACTGCTGTTGCCAACTATTCGATTCTTTCCTGACAGTGGGCTATGCACATCTTCACCCTTTGCCAAGTGAGTTTGAGGGGTCTCCGGTAGAGTGTCGAAGTCGAAGCATACATCTCTGCTCCCCAACTCTAGGCTGAGCAGATGCATTTCAGTCATACATTGCTACACAACAAACCACTCCAAAACATAGTGGCTTTAAACAGCTGTCATTTAAGTCGCTCGTTGTCCTGCGGATCAGCAGTTTGGGCGCTCAGCCGGGTGGTTCTCCTGCTGCTCTTGCCTGAGTTACTCACATTTGTGGGTATTTAGTGGTTCAGGGGCAAGCCGGTTGATCTAAAGGGTTTTGGCTGGGCTGGTTCATCTCTGCTGTCTGCTGTCTCATCGTCCACTAGGCGAACCCGCTCCCACACAGCGTGATGTTCTGACGGCATCAAGAGGACAAGAAAGCCCCAGACCTCTCCAGGCCACTTTGGGCGGCTTTTCCTCCCTTCGAAAGTGCCCGTACTTTACCCCCTAAGGAGGGTTCGTTTAAGTCAAGATGTAATCCAGCGCAGCCCTTGTTGCGGTAAATAAAGTTTCACTGGATCACAATCACAGACATTCGCTTACACATCCTCCGTACTGCTTTGCTGCTACAATGGCACAGTCGAGCTATGGCGGTAGAAACCGCTTGATCTGCAAAGCCGGAAACACTTACCGAAAGGGTGCCAGCCCCTGATGTCAGGCAGGAGAGCACCTGCCCGTTGGATGAGCCGCCTAGCCGTGCCCGCAAAGAGTGTGGGGCTTGGGGAAAAGGGGCACGCTGGCAGCAACCTGTCCGATGTTCTCTGGGTTCGGCCGCAGGGGCTTGGCCTGCTGAGGCACAGAGAGGAATGAGGGCAGGCTTTAGAGAAGCGGACCCTGGTCTCACCCTCCGTTAAGTAGGCAGAGCTATTGGAGAGCGCTCCTCAGCCCCCTCGGGGCAGGCTGCTGCTCGCCGCCCCCTCCGCAGCCTCCCGGAATCTGGATTCATCTATTTCCGGGCAGCTTGGAGCTCTCCGTGGTACTGAAATGCCCCCCCACCCCCACCCCGGCTTGCCTCTCCTGGTCAGGGGTTCAGGTCTATGGGATTCTAGCTCCTGCCTTCTCTAACTACACCCCAGGCCTCCGTATTCCCAGGCCCTTACTTGGCCTCAAGCCATGGTCACCACTTGAGAATTGCTTGATGTTATGTGTGGAAAGACCCCCTCCCCACATACTTATATACATTGGAATAGGGTTCAGGAATCCAAATGGAGTTGTGCTTTTATTACTGCTGTGTATTATACATATATAATATATAATACACGTAGAAGTAAACAGCCATGAATTCTAGGGCAACCCAAGGGCTTGAAGCTTTCCTGGAATTTCTCAATATTTTCAAATTTAGGGATTTCTGCAATGGGGAGATCCGGGATTGAAGGAAGCCCTTTCTTTTACTGACTTCTCTCTTAGAAATTATGCAGCGACACTCCTGAACAACCTCAAGTGTCTAAGTTTTGGCTTCAAATTATACCAGTTGGTTTGAGCATGCAGATTAGAAACAAAGGAGAAACAAACAAAAATAAACTCTATTCTGCTGTTTGACCTCACGGCAGCCTCCATAAGCCATCTGGTCAAGCATGAAGGATTATTGGAGTCTCTCTCTCTCTTTTTTTAATTGTGGTAGAATACACATAACATAAAAATTTCCATTCTAGCCATTTTAAGTGCACATTTTGGTGGCACTAGGTCCATTCAAAATGTTGTGCAATCATCACCACCATCCATTTCCAGAATTTTTCATTTTCCCAAATTGAAACTCTGTTCCATTAAACATGAACTCTCCATCTCCCATCCCCCAGTCCCTGGTGACCTCCATTCTACTTCCTGTCTCTATGAACTTGCAAATTCTATGTCCTTTTTTCTGTCCCAGGACACCATCCAGGGTACCACATGACATTTCATATTCATGTCTTCTTAAGCTCCCCTTGGCTGAGACAGATTCTCAGATTTTGTTTTTGATGACTGCAATATAAAGAGACATAGGAAATACATATTTGGTCATTCGTATTTCCCAGGCATATCTGGTCTTCAGCCACAGTTCCTGAAAACACTGCAGAATCTTAAAGGCGAAATGGGTGTTTTGTTACGTTAATGAGAGACTTTTGGACCCCCCCACTAAGGGCGGGGCTGGAGGCTGAATCAGCCAATGGTTAATGACTTGGTCAATCACGACTATGCAATGAAGCCCCCTCAAAACCCCTGAGAAGAGCTTATTCCTTTTGGCTCTCTTGGATTTTCTGCTTTTCAGACAGGGAGATCCTCTACGCTTGGGAAGCCAGAACGCCTCCACGTGCCACCCAGCCAGGCCCCCAGCTCCACGAGGATAGAATCTCCTTTATTTGGGACCTTGCCCTGTGTCTCTCGTCATCTTGGCTGTTAACTTGTATCCTTTACAGTATCCTTTATTAAACTGGTAAACATCTAAGTGTTTTCCTGAGTTCTGTGAGCTACGCTAGCAAATTAATCGAACCCAAGGGGGAGGTCGTGGGAACCTCCAATCTGCAGCTGGTAGGTCAGAAGCACAAGCAACTTCCTGAGGCTTGCGACCGGCATGTGGAGTAGGGATGGAGGGCAGTTTTGTAGGATGGAGCCCTTAACCTGGGAATCTGGTGCTGTCTTCAGGCAGAGAGCATCAGAATTGAGTTCTTGAGACACCCTGCTGGTGTTGGAGAATTGCTTGGCGTTAGTATGCGTGGGAAGACCCCCTCCCACGTACTTACACATTGGAATTGGTCCGGGAACCCGAATGAAGTCACACTACTGTTACTGCTGTGTATAATATTGTTACACATGTATGTAGGAAAACACACTCGTGCAATGACCATGACAGTTCTGAGGAGAGCCAACTAGGGATTTTATATAGAATATCCCTCAGCTGGTGATTGTCTGGTGTTTTACTTATGACTAGACTCAGGTTATGTGTTTTAAACGGGAGGAAGACCACAGAGGATGACGAACAGCACGGCCTGTCACTGCTGATGCTGACCTTGGCTGCCTGGCTGCGTGCCTTACATGCCTCCACCATAAATTTATTTCACCTGCTGCCTTTCTATCCTGTGCTCTTCGGAAGGAGCCACTATGCACAGCCCACACTTACGGGTTGGAAGTTAGGCTCCCTCTCCTTGAGGGCTGAGTATTTATGCAAATTATTTTGAATTCTTCCACCTGGGAGATCTAATATTCCATTTATTTATTTAATCATTTATTTATGTCAGTATGGAGTCATTTGGGATTATAATCCAATACTGCTTGATCTTATCACACACACACAAAAACTTGTTCCATTGGGACAAGTGGGCATTGGGAACTTTCAGTCAGCTCCCACATCCTTCGGCCATACCCACTTCTTTGTGGCAGATATTTTTTTATCATTAATCTACAACTACATGAAGAAAATTATGTTTACTAGGCTCCCCCCTTCACCAATTCCCCCCACACATACCCCTTCACAGTCACTGTCCATCTGCGTAGTAAAATTGTGGCAGATTTTTAAACTCTTCCTTTTATGGTACTATGACATGCTCCCGGCTCGTCTTGGGTATTCCGTGCCCCAGTTTAGAATCAGCCATTTTTCCACAAAGCTCTGGTTCCTTTGTTGGAGAACGGTCTCCGAAACCAGGATCTGGAGACTGGGTGTTGTGGACCTCCGAGTGTTCCGCATAATGGGACAGGATATGGGTTGTGTCTTTAACAAAGTATTTTATTAATTACACCAAGGATATAGTGCCAGGCAATACTGTTCTCTGAAATCATAGAATTTCAGAATCTTTGATATTTTTCAGTCCCGTTGGTGAGAATACAATCTGCTCTTACCTAGAGGGTCTGAATCCTACAGGTCATTTTGCCTCAGAGAAGCAGCCTGGATTTCCAAGCCAGGTGCAGAGATTCAAATAAAGGATGTCTAGACATGACAGTCCACTTGGCAGTTTCCAAGGGAACAGGACCCTGCATGTGCATGTCAGCTCAAGCTTACGCCAACCTCTTTACTCATAACTCTGCCTAGCATTGAGTCCATCCAACTTTGCTTCATGTAAATATTACCTAAATTCTATTTCCCCCAAATCGTATTATTTGTCTCTCTTCTTTTTTGACACCCAATACTTCCTCTATTTTATGGTCTTTTTTGAGCAAATTGATAAATCCAACGTTCTAGGACCATAATTGTGTCCCTGAAGGTCTATCAGTTGGGCTTTACTAGTGAAGAAGTTGGTGGTGGAGAAAGGGCTGTTTCTGAAACACAGAGTGAGAAACTGGGATTAGCTGTGGCTAACCCTTGGTCTTTAGACGCAGTTTCTCTGTATAATGTTGGATACGCCATTGAGATGCTCTGCAACACAGTTTTGTACTAGCATCAAAAGGCCATTAAATTTGTTCCAATGAACTCCCACTGGATTTTGTGAGAATCAGAGAGAGAGAAATGAAATATATTTTTGACTGCCCTCTTCATGGGAGCAAAGAAGGGGAGGGTCATGGGGAGGATGGGGCTCAATATGGCTGAGAGCAGGTAGGGCCAGCAATATACTACCCAGAAGTACAGACCCCATGTGGGGATAAAAGTTCTCATTACCTTTTCCCCTCTATCCTTTCCCCCTTTCTCCCTGTGAACTGTCTGCAGTGGCTAATTAAATTTAGGGATTACGGCATTAGGATCGCTAGATTCAGCAAACAAAGATACAGGATTCCCAGAGTTGAATTTCAGATGAACATTGAAAAAAAATTTTTACTGTAAATATGTCCCAAACACTGAATCGAACACGCTTATGATACTAAACAATATTCACTGTTTATCAGAAGTTCAAGCTTAACTGTGCACTTTCTGTATTTCAGATGACATTCCTACCTAGAAATCCAACTCCTGCAAACCCACAGCAGCCTTTTGTAAAAGTGGCCCCAGGTACTTCCTCGGGCCTGAGCCGCCATATTTAGTTATCATGTGATCGTGTCAGGTGACCGCAGTTCCTTGATAGCGATTGGCTCCCACTCCAAAGCAGCTAGCTATAGGTTGGAGGAGCAGCCTATCCCGTGGGCTGGAGCTCTAGCCAGTAAGAGTATTGGATGGTGACTTAGTGGGCCAATCAGAGCTACCCTCTGAGGGAATTGAAGGTGGGACTCCCAGGTAGAAACAGAAATGGGTTCAAAGCTTACCCCTACCCCTTAGTGGTTGTCTGTTTTGGACCAGGGTTGTAAGCCTATGGTTTTTATATGAACTACATATAGGCATTAAATGAGGCACCATAGGCAAAGCTTATAGTAAATGCTCAATAAATATGCCCATTACTATTATTATCAGTGTCAATCCAATTAAGACGTTTGCCCTCCTTCCCATGAGACATGAGGTCCAGGAGCTCACTGTTGGGGTGAATTCCTGGTGGCTCATAGCTAGAAACAGGTCCCGCCAGGCTCCTTAGCCGCACCCCTGGAAGCCTGACTCACACTGCCCTCTGGACTGTAGTTGCCAGCCCCTCCAAACCTTCCCAGGGGACCTGGTGCCTGTGGTTACCAGGACTGCAGGTGATGCAAGATGCTGGGTTCCTTGCTGAGACCTCCTCCCCAGCCACCAGGGGCCTGAGGCAGCCTAATTGGTGTCTCGGCACTGGAGGTGCCCCATGGCTCACCCAGGCACCAGACACAAACTCAGGGTCTCCAACCTTCAAAGGCAGACAGTTCTGAGCCAGACAGCTAGTGCTCTGCCACTGACCACAGTGCTGAGCCCCTGGGGCAAGCCACCTCCCTCTCACAACCAGGGCGCTGGGTGAGCAGACGAGCCACCATCTTCTCCAGACTGGACTGCTGGGTGACCAGGACAAGCCATCACCCTAAGTTCCAGCTCCCTCACCTGCTGGATAGGCACTGTAACAATCACCTTTTGTGTGTGTCCTCACTGAACAAACATTGTTGACAAAACCAAGTG